TGTCGATGATGTACCTAATATTTTTTAGATTTTGTGTCATTTTGAACCAAAAAGTTAAAAGTATTTACACGTGACTAAAAATATGTTTGTTCCAACAAACTTCACATAACAATGCTTCATTACTTCCCATCATCCCATCTCTTCCTTCTGCTCTTGTCTTCCTGTAATTTAAGTAAACAGAATCACATTCACTAATGATCAACTAATGACTGTCATTGTTAAAAAAGTATTTTTTAACTTTTTCATTTTCTGCTATTGTCTTTGCATTCGGGGCTAGGAAATGTCCGCCGCGCTGCCTCAATGCGTGTTGGAGAAGTTCACATGCCTTCGAAATTTTCTCAGATATGCAGGTTTCCTCACGATGTTTTCCTTCACCGCAGAGCACGTGGTAAATCAGCACTTAAAATTGCAAGTAACAATTTAATTGGTGCCGGCGGGGATCGAACCCGGGTCGCGTACTGTGTAATTTACAGCTTGCGCTAACCATCTGAGCTACCAGGGCTTAATCATATACAAACACAATATTTAAATATAATTTGTTAACACTAAATCATACACACGTAAGAAAATAACAGAAACAAAAGTAAGTTTGTCAATAGAATAAACACTTACATCCATGGCCTTTGATACGTTGAAGTAACACAAATGTAGTATTGATAGATCCACTGCGGTCAAACGACCATACACTAACTCCATGACTGCAGCTACTCGGTCTTATATAGTACCAGTAAGTAATAATTCTAATCTAAAGAATTTCTGCAGTGGAACTGATAGTACACCACAAAGAAGTATAATACAATAGCACTGATAAGCCGACGCATACGCCGAGGAAAAATAGAAAATGACGGTATTCAATGAACAATAGATAAATTGATAAGTACAATGGGGGCGCTAATGACGGTGGAGGGCCCTCACCGGATATCAATTAGATAAGAGTTAATTGATATGCACATCTCCGGAACCGTACATCCTACGCAAAAACGGACCGCAGATTCGTGATCAGAGCATGCCAAAACCTTCTATTTTTTTAGGATCGTGAGTCGACGAACGTTGTACCACTTCTGACTCATTGAAGAATAGGTACTTTAGATAGGTACTTTTTAATAATAGTTGATAAATATATATTATATCAATCATTATAAAAAAGTAATAAAAAATCATTATTAATAAAGAAGGTACTACATATAAAAAGTGCCTATATATTGAAGGTTTGTAGCCTCTGGTTAAACGACCGAAAGGTCATTTTCCGTTTTTCTCAATCGATTTGGCACGTATATACTTCTTCAAATATGTGGGGAATATATATTTGGAACAATTTATACAACAATTAAATTATTAATATTATTTTTATTCATTGTATTATATTATAATACATATTCTTTCATTCACTATTAACGTAAACAATCATCAATTTCTATATTTATATTGTTTATTTATCTGAAATTATGACTACAACCTACTAATTTGCGGGAGAATTTATACACCATTAATATGTTTGTTACCGACCTTAACACCCGTATCTACTTATAACGCACAGACTGGTTATTTACTAGCTTCTATAATAAAGAATAAAGTATTCATATACTATTTGGAACGGGTAATTTGAAATACTTAAAAGTTGGTTTGTTAAACGCAGGCTTAGTTTCTAAGCATGAGGAATTTATTGTGGCCATGAAAGAGCTAAATCCAGACATTATGGCCATCAATGAGATATGGCTTAGAGCTGGAGAAGAAGGCGAAAGCTCCCATACTGGATGAATATCGTTTGCGACATAATCATAGACCTCAGCAATTTAAAAAAGGAAGAGGCGGAGGAGTAGGCTTTTAGATACATAAAAATTTAGCATTTAAAATTTGTCCACATCCTTCTACTCCCTGTGTAGAACAGATGTAGATAAAAATGAATATTTCAGGAGTCAACCTTATCGTTGGCACTGCATATAGACCCCCTTGGCTAGATGTTAATATTTTCTTGGATGCGATGGCTGAATCAGTTTCCACTTTTGCCAACGCGGATAGGGTTATCTTGGTTGGTAATTTCAATATTAATATTTTGGACGAGAGACTATATTGCTATACCAATTCTTAGAATGTCATAGCTTAAAACAAGTTATTAATACTCTGACACACTTCACTAGCCACAGCGAAACACTGCTAGATTTGATCTGTTCAGATGCTCGAGTACGCAACACCATAGTCAAATACTTGCCCGATTTGGGAAGCCATGCCATTGCTACTGCTGAATTTAATATAAAAAAAGAAAAACCTAGTCCTCGTTATATAACATATAGGTCACTAAATAATATTATTACAGAATTATTTATTCGTGATTTAGAAATCATTAATTGGTCACTTTGATGACGTCAATGACATGGTTACTTATTTTTATTCTGTTACAAACATTCTGTTCGATTTGCATGCTCCACTTAAAACCACTCATTTCAAATCACCGTCTCACCCTTTGATTACTGATACAATACGCAAAATGATCAAAATTCGCGACGACTAACATGCTAAATACAAAAATCAAAAAATAACACATTTAAAAATTGTTATATAAACATGAAGCTGATAGTAACAGAAGCCATGACAAAATAAAAAGAAAGCATATTTCGAACAGTACATAAATAAAAGTAGTAAGAATTCTAAAACTATGTGGAAAAGAAAAACGTAGTAAATCTCAAAAATAAGGCTGAGGAACTTCCACATCAGTTCAACGACCCTGATTTGATAAATAGACATTTTCTAAATATACCTGAGGATGACACTGTACCAATTACTCATATTAATTACTTTAAACAAAATAGGTACAATTTTAATAACTTTACTTTGTCTACAGAAGCAGAAGAATTAATATTAAACACTATTAAAGAACTAAAATCCAATTCCGTAGGTATAGACAATATCTCTCTGCAGATGCTATTAACGACTCTACCCCAATCATTAATGACAATAACTGATATCATTAATAATCGATCCAGTGTGCGGCTTTCCAAATTTATTGAAACTTGCAATTGTCAAACCTTTACCAAAGAAGATTAAATTAAAATTTAAAAAAAGAAGATTAATTCAATTCAAGACCTAAGACCTATTAGTATATTGCACTGCATTTCCAAAATACTAAAAAAAGTAGTTTGCAAGCAGATGACAGATTATCTTGAAATTAATGGCGTAATGCCTGTTATGCAATATTGTTTTCGCAAGGGCCACAGCACTACTACAGATTTGCTTGAGGTAACCGATAATCTATTTGCGGCTCAAGATGGTAGTATGTGCTCTATTTTAGTGCTCTTAAGACCTTCTCCCGAGCATTTGATTCGATCGATCAGTCATTACTCGATCAGTCATTACTCCTAAGTTGGCATTCTATGGCTTTGATGCTAATGTAGTCAAATGATTTGACAGTTATCTCACTGGAAGACAACATTGTGTAGAAATCATTTAAGTGACGGTACTAGGATTCAATCAGCCCCCCCCCCCCAGAATGTTACACGAGGCGTCTCACAGGGCTTGGTACTTGGGCCTGTCCTTTACACGCTATATTCTGCAGATATCGTTAAGAAAATTAATCACTGTCATTACCACCTATACGCTAATGACCTGTAAATGTACCCTTCATTCAAACCATCGCCAATGGGCCTTTTTAAAGCTATTAATAAAATAAATTACGATTTAGAGGCTATTTCTGCTGTCAAAATTAAATTCTTTGGTTCTAAATCCTGATAAATCAAAGTTTATGTTAATAGAGTAAAAAAAAAATTATTGCTAAACTTGTAAATGTTCCAATAGTTTTAAAAATTGGAAACAATCCAATTTGTCAAATCTCCGAGGCGAGAAAATAAGCTTGATAACCATCTGCGTTTTGAAGCACATGTCACAGAAAGTGTACGAAACTGTTTTTATACATTAAAAAGCTTATATAAAATCAGGCCATTCCTAACAGAGAAAACAAGGCTAAGACTATGCGAGTCTTTGATTTTGTCCAAATTAAATTACTGTGACGTAGTGTTTGAACCATGTCTATTAAGTAGGACTCAGAGGCTCATACAGCGTGTACAAAATACATATGTGAGGTTGTGCTTTCACATATCACCACGTACGCATGTCACTCCTTTCCTTAATCATGCAGGCCCATTAAAAATGTCATCGCGTCGAAGGTTACACCGAACTACCTTATTATTTCGAATAATTTCTTCAAAAACACCTTGTTACTTATATGACAAATTAGTGTGGGTTAGCGAACAGTCAAAATATCCGAAACGCAAACGTTCCAATGTCTTTGTTATTCCAAAACGTGGAACAATGGCATTTAGAGGGTCCTCCAGGTTTGCAGCTTCTCGCTGCTGGAACGATCTGCCTCCACCAATACGTGCTTTAAAAACTATAGGAACATTTAAAAAAACTATCAACAATTTTAAAACAAGACCAAAATCCCTCGTAATTTTAAAATTATTTTTTTTCTCTTTATTTTTTTTTTTGTTTTACATGCACAATATAAAGGTCCTCTAATTAATGCTGGAATAAATGCTACATAAAGTAGGGTCCACACGGCAGCAACTTTGGTTGATAGCGACTCGCTGGCGATGTCAAAATCAGTGTGTGGACGAGACCTTAACCGCGATTTATTGTCGCTATTAATTGCGGCGATCGAATCGGTGTAAATCTGAAAAGTCGAAGTCGCATGATAGTCACCAGCGACATCGTTGCAGTGTGGACGTGGTTACACGTACGCGATTTTAAATGGCGGACCTACGTAAATACTCTCGGTCTTTTGTGACTGAATTTATAGAATTATACCGGGATTTACCTTGATTATGGATGGTTAAGAGTAAAGATTACTCAAACAGAGATTTGTAGTCGCAAAGTTATGATATTTTAGTCGAAAAATTTAGGGAGGTGGAGCCAAATGCTAATCGGGATTTTGTGGTAAAAAAATTAAAAATATTAGGGATGTTTGGCGAAGACAATACGATAAAATCGAAAAAAGCTTGAAATCCGGAATGGCTGTAGAAGATATCCCTACACCATCATTATGGTATTACGATTTACTCAACTTCTCGAAGGATCAAGAAACAACTAGAAGTTCAATAACTAATATCAAAACAGGAAACAATATTCGGGTAAGTTGATGAAATAAATACACTATTTATAATTTATAATATTTATTTATTGATATTATTATTATCAACTACTGTACTGTATTTTTATTAGTAAAATGGTTTTGCCACGAAACACCACCCTCATTATTGAAATATTTGAGATATTGTTCTCGAACATGTCTAGCAATGGTTTGACTTTGACCTTGATTTGTTACTTGTAAATTTAACAATTCATTGTTGACTCTGTAGCCTATATTAATGGTTCCATCATCCAAATTTTCAATATCCACACCAACTTTGATATATTCATTACATTTTTGATGTAAAAAGTTATGTAATATACATGACGCCGTTACTATTTTATCAATGGTTTGCAAGTCTAAATTGATTGAAGTTTTGAAAATTTTAAATTGATTGACTAATATACCAAAGACGTTTTCAATCATGCGACGGGCTCTTGATAGCCTGTAATTGATATATAATATTCTTTGTTGAGGGCTTAAATATTTACCTGGAAAAGGTTTCATTAAGTCTGGGTGTAAAGAAAAGGCGTCATCCCCCACGAAGGCGTAAGGCAAAATAGTTTCACTATTTATTATCCTTGCTGCCTTAGGAATATTTAACGATCCTGAGTTAAGTTTCTCATAAAATATACTTCTATTAATAACTCCACCATCAGATATTCGACCATTAATTCCTATATCCACCATTATAAATTCGTAATTTGCATTTGCTATTGCTAATAAAACAATGCTGAAATCCTTTTTATAGTTAAAATAGTATGACCCACTATTAGCTGGTGGCACAATTTTTACATGTTTCCCGTCTATAGCTCCTAAGCAATGAGGAAATTGCCACCTTTCTTCAAAGGTTTTTGCTATGTCAATCCATTCTTTTTCAGTTTCAGGAAACTGTAAATAAATTGATACTTATATTAATTAATATTTTTAAATTCAGGTACCTATCGATGAAGATTTAGAAGGAAATAGAAATATTGATGAAGATTCTGATTTATTTTCGGAGTCAACGCAATCACCCGCTCCCTCAACAGCATCTACAAAGACATCTCGTGGTAGTAATATAAAGAAGAGGCCAAGAGAAGATATTCTTAGTAAAATTAATGCCCATCTCAGCGGACCCACTCCGACAGACCGCTGAAAACATACAGCAAAATCATGGGCTGGTATCTTAAAGAGTTTACCAAATAATCAACAAATTTTTGCGGAGAAATTAATCAACGAAGTTTTGTTTGAAGCACGAATGAATTCTCTCTTTCGTCAAAGTCGTATTGATGTTAATAAAAATAATACACAATTAATAAATACACAATTAGTTTCTCAGAATGAAAATGTTCAAAGTGTCCATAATTCAAATGTTACTGATGATGATACTTTTTCACAAAGCCTTTTGATAGATCCCGTGAGTGGCCTACTAATTCACGTTCCCCAGCAGATGAACAATCATCATCATTATCATCATCATTACAGCCCAGTCCACTGCTGAACATAGGCCTCCCCCAAGGCATGCCACAAAGCACGGTACTGAGCCACCTGTATCCATCGACTTCCTGCATGTCGTACCAGGTCGTCACTCCATCTAGTGGGGGGTCGCCCTACACTTCGTCTACTGGTACGAGGCTGCCACTCGAGAACCTTTTTTCCCCAACGGTTGTCGGTTCTTCGAGCTATATGGTCGGCATATTGCCACTTCAGCTTACTAATCCATTGGGTTATGTCGGTCACTCTGGTTCTACTGCGGATATCCTCATTTCTAAGTTTATCACGTAGAGAAACTCCGAGCATAGCCCTCTCCATAGCTCGCTGAGCGACTTTGAGCGGTCTCATACGGCCAGCAGTGAAGGACCACGTCTCTGTTCCGTATGTCATCACTGGCAACACGCACTGGTTGTACAACTTAGTTTTCAGGTTTTGAGGTACACCTAACGAGAAGATGTGTCGTAATTTCCCGAACGCTGCCCAGCCGAGTTGAATCCGTCGATTGACCTCTTGGTCGAAGTTGGACTTACCTAGCCGGACTATTTGTCCCAGGTAAACGTACTCGTCAACAACTTCGAGCTTAGTGCTCCCAATAACTACCGGCATAGGTGTGACATGGACATTAAACATGATCTTTGTTTTGTCCATGTTCATCTTAAGAGCTGTCCGTTGGGAGGCACCATTGAGGTTATTGAGCATAGTGCTTAAGTCCTCCAGCGATTCTGCCATAAGGACTATATCGTCGGCAAATCGAAGGTGAGTGATGTACTCGCCATTGATGTTAATACCGTATCCTTTCCAGTCCAGTAGCTTGAAAACGTCTTCCAATGCAGCGGTGAAGAGTTTCGGGGAAATAACGTCACCTGTCTTACACCTCTCTGCAGTTGGATAGGTTTCGTACTCTGGTTCTGTACTCGGATAGGCATCGTAGCCCTACTGTACAAACACTTCAGCACTTCGATATACCGACAGTCAACTTGGCACCGCTGAAGAGACTGTAGCACCGCCCAAATTTCGATGGAATCAAAGGCTTTCTCATAGTCCACATACGCCAGGCAAAGTGGCAGATTGTACTCTTCGGACTTCTGTACAATTTGCTGAAGGGTATGTATGTGGTCTATGGTACTAAAGCCTTTTCGGAAACCGGCTTGTTCGGGAGGCTGGAAGTCGTCGAGTCTGCGTGCGAGACGATTCGTAATGACTCTCGAAAATAGCACGTAGACGCGGCTCAGAAGGGATATCGGTCTGTAGTTCTTCAAGAGGGCGTTGTCACCTTTCTTGAAGAACAAGACCACCGCACTTCTGCTCCACGCCTCCGGAGTAGTGCCACCATGGAGGACGGAATTAAAGAGCCTCTGAAGGACTTCAAGTACCGGTTTTCCACCCGCTTTCAGAAGCTCCGCTGTAATTCCAACCTCGCCCGGGGACTTGCCGTTTTTAAGGTGCTGGAGGTGTTACTATGTATTATAATCATTTTAAACCATAAAGTGTTTATTTTTAGTGGATAATAACAATATATACTTACCAAGTTGTTTAGTACTTTTAACACACTTTTAAATTTTGTATAAGCTATGATCGCATCACATGTTTCTGGAACGATCTTGCTTAGAGCTTGCTTAGATATTGCAACGCTGTATTGTAAGTCCTGATAAGTTCGTCCAGTTGCTAGAAATCGCAATGTAGCTGATAATCATTCGTGAGCAGTTATCGCTTTTCTCATGCACGTATCCTGTTTTGTTAGCATTGGTTCCAACAAAGACAACAAATGTTGATATGAACAAAAGTCCATACGTACATAGTTTCTAAAATCATTCGGTTCTTGTAGTGCTAACTCAGTCATTAAATTTACATGTGAATATCTTGATCTTTGAAGTAACCATTTTTTCGCCCAACATCTTCTATTTTTCTTTTTTTTCTCTTTCGGCGCCTCTACACGTTGGCCAACACAGTGGCGAATGTAGTGGCCAATAGCATTGGCCAACGTGTAGACGGGGTGTTTGGGCTTCATTGGTATGTATTGGAACGATGGCCCTCAAGTTGGCGCGAGATCCGTGTGGTGTCGGTTTTTTACAAAAGATCAAAGGATTGTTGGCAGAGTTTGGTCGCCGCGTCCACACGTTGGCCGCGCGTTTAGTTTGCTACAAGCTCCCAGAGTGATTACACGCATCTGATTTCAATTTTATATTCAAGCTTTGTAGGGTGGATGCCCCAATTAATAGCCTTTTAGTGCCAATTTCAACTTTAAACATTCCTACTACTTTAATTAGCGCGATTTAATTATTATTGAACATTTGTTTTAATCAATAAGCTATTTATTAAAAAAAATTAACGTTTTTTCACAATCAGATTATTACGAGAACAATTTTAAAATGAAAAAAATGAAGCACGTCGTTTATACGTGGTAGAACCATGCAATTATATTAGAAGTATAGTTGCAGCACGAAGGTCGGCTTGACCGGGGAAGGACCACGCTCTCACAGAATATCAGCGTAAAATAGTAGCTTAATGATGCTATGTTTCGTATAGTGAGTCTAGAGAACCAGAGACCCTTTTTAAAGGAAACGAGGCATTTCATCTTAGACCCCACGGGTGACAACGCATCTGCATTTTGATTCGTAATCGAGGATAGATGTAGATGTCTATGGGCCACAGTAACCACTTACTATCAGGTGAACTGTCGTGGTTATAATTAGTACCTATTATTAAGTCAGTGTTAATTATATTTATTGCTATTGTTTTTGTCTTTCTCAAAAAATAATTAAATTACCAAATAAATTATAAGGTGTTTTTATATACATCAAATGTCATATTACATATGTACATATTTTGCTAAACTTTAAAATCAAAACACAATTTTAAAACATGGACTAATCGATTATAACTCCTTTAACTTTAAAATAAGTTAAGTTCTTATTAATGGTATTTATTCCAGTTTATGATGCATGTAAAGAATAAATAAAGCTAATCGTATATCGTATATCTATTTACAGCCCCATTAATATCCACTATTATTTTATAATTCTTTTATAAAAACGTTAACCCCACACTAGGATTTTCTCCCGCATCGTGCAGGCAGTTTACAAACAATTATTTGTAGGACATACAAATACTTGTTCCGTGAGGGATCAAACCCGCGGCGCCCGGCGCAGCCACTCATTGCTGAGCCACTGCGCCACGGTGCTTATAAATTCGTCCGCACATTGGCCCGAACCGAAGTAAACTGAACGACCTTCCAACGTGTGGACGCCGTCACCAACTCTCGGCCAGTATATTCGCCACTCCATTCGCCACTGTGTTGGCCAACGTGTAGAGGCGACATTTGTCATATATGCAAACGGCTGCTAGGGCTAGCAACATGCGACGCTTTTTTTTAAACATCACCGGTATGCACGTCTACTGCGAAATGAATACTGATAAATCGATATAATGTAGACACAAAAGTCATAAGTCGTCAGCGAGTCGCCATCGACATAGTATAGACCCAAGTTAAAACTTACTGTTTTTTTTTATCTCACTAATTTTTCAGTTTACTCACTGTTTCGTTTCTTTTTGTTTATGATTGTTGAATCGTAAAGTCTTTACAATTAAATTCAGTTATTTTTTTTACTAAGATTAGATAATATTATGCTATATAACGTTGAGCTGTTGAGCACTTTATAATGTATATGTATGTACATTTAAATGTGTATGATGTATATACGTATGTATTGATGTATGCTTATTGATGTATGTGATAAGCAAGTGTACAGTTCACTTATACATTGTGTTATTAATTCCAAATAATACCTCTTTTATGCTGATTCCTTCCTCACTCACTTCTAAGAATGGTTGTCTTTAATTTGTATGACCGTCCGTGAAGTGAATATTGGACTCTATTTGAAAATCAGCGCTGACTTCACAATTTGACTTCACAAAAATCTATTTTATTTTTTATTGTAACATTTCGAATTATTTTTTTTTCTTTGTGATTTCAAATAAAGTTTTTATTTCTTTCATTCTAGTAGGATTAATAGGATTAACATAATACTTGAGTTTTGATTTAAAAAAAGATCGATGTAGTCATTTTCACGCATTTAGAAGTATTTAGAATATTTAGTACGTACGTTAATACGTACTAGAACAGCTATTTGAAACAAAACATGTGCGCTACTCTGTGTTCACGCGGTTGGCTTTTTTATCATAGAATAAACATAGGTAGAATGATCAGTAGGTAATAATAGATTGTATTGTTAAATAGGTAAACTATATCGAGAACAATTTTCAAATTTTGTCATTTATTTCGTATTTAATATTTGCTTATTTAATATAATATTACTTAATATTATATCACAATTACATTTTAATTATATTTTTATCTGAATACTTTAAAAGGTATCTATGTCAAATATAAAAAATATACTAAATGTATGTTTAACAAAACTTATTAATATAAAATTTAAATTAAAAATATATTTATTTAAATTAGAATAAGCGTCGTTCATAAATGCTGGGCACGCGAGAGTTAAAAATGAACGAACTTATTCTACTTTGACTTTGATGTGGAAACCTAAAAATAATATAAAAGAATAATGAGCAGATCTAAATATAAAAAATTGGCCTAATTATGATAACTCACATATGTTTCTACAAAAAAAATGTGTATAATAATATATTTATCCTATA